AAAAAAAAAAAGGTACTCTGTCTGAAGAAAAAAATACATTTCCAAGTATCAGCTAAGCAATTATTTAGAGAATTGTAACATTTTACTTAAAAATAAGCTTTTTGTTAAATTCCAATCAAATTTTTCCAGTCAGGAAGAAAGATGCAGTAAAAGCACTGTTATTAGAAAGCTAAGAACAATGCACAATAACCAAGTCAAACTTCTTCCTGCAGAACGCAAGTAATGATAGATAAAACTCAAATCCTATCAGTTGATCTGAAAAGTAGGAGAATGAGGAAGATCAATAAAGCCGACTATTCTAAACGTCAAAATCGTAATATTGGTTAACGCAGTAAAGACCATTAAGTTTTAAAAGTTTCAAAAATATGATATTCGTTGGTTATTTGCCAAGACAAGCTTCAGCTAATTCTCAGTAGTACTTGCAGCTTATTTAAAATAAAACAAGTGAAGCTGTAATAGAATATCTGCACCCGTCTCAACAAAATTAGCGACTATCATGTTGTTAAGACCGATTTCTTTGAAACTTAAACCACAAAAACACCTTATCGCCCATACATATTTGACGTTTAACTATTTCTCGATATTTAGCCAAACTATGGAACCTATCAGTATCTTCATATGTCCATTTGAGTTCGACGAGTTATTAAGAAATAAAAGATACTCTGATTATAAAAGTCTGTTAGGTGGCTTTCAGAAAATGATACTAAGTTGGAAAAAACTGTGCAACTATTCAATGGTGGACACAGCAAAGATACTGCCGTAATTTCAACAAAAAAACAATTGAGGAAATATGAGAGTTACGAAAAGCAAACCATTAATTCTGAAGCATTTTGCACCGTTTTCCTCAGTCTGCAACCAGCAAAAGGTTTTGAACCGATTTTACACCAGAAGTGCTCATCTTCTTAAAAAAACAAAGGCATTTTCTAATTTACATATCAACTCCATCAGTAATTACCGTAAAAAACACTGATCGGAATGTAACTCAAACCCTTGGTAGCCGAAGCACTTTTTGATATAAAAATTTATTCCATATAAGTGCATTGAACTAAGTTGGATTTTTTAATCCTTACGTTCTCAAATATACCAAAATTAACATAGTTTAGCCACTAGGACAATCAGGCACACTTACAGAAATATGGTTAAAAAATCTACTTGTATTCACTTCAGTTCCTTGACTAATTTTGTGAAAATATCTGTAAGCTTTCTAGAGAATTCTTAGATGGGTCAGCGTAATACAATTTAATGTCAGTGTTGAATTTTCTTTTCAATTCACTTTTCTTTTTTCAAGTCAATAATACAAAAGAACCACCAATCACATTAAATTATTGATATGCTTATACAGTAGGAATCCATGTAGCAAGATTGACAAATCATAACATAAACTTGTACATATTAACAAAGTTAAGACGACAGCAGTTAGCTATACATTCAAAAAAACAACTGAGCGGACATGTAAAGCCCTCATACGGCTATTAGACAGAAAATTGAGGCAACAAGCTTCAGAAGGCTCCAAACTTACACGTATCATCGATCCACAACCCCATTGAGCAAGCACTTTGACTACAAGAATAAAGGCTGTGTAAACAAAGTAGTTTGCTTAGTTTTTCTGCAACTTTTGGCAACATTAACCCATATAACTTCATAACAACAATAAAACTCATCAAAAATGACTAGCAGTTTCATGTTAGTGACGTGTTAGAAGAGAAGACCAAATTGCACACAAGCAATAAGCCCTAACTATTACATGTTGAGACGAGCTAAAAGAAGTAGACGAAGGTTTGCAAAAATTTTTCCTGACAAGATTAGGGCAAACGCAGTAGGTGAGCAAACATACATTTTAATTAACTTAAAATCCATTTTTCTGTATTTCTGCTAGGCATTCAAAAAACCCTTCAAGAGTTGCAAGAAAATCAAGGTTAGCACAAATTCAGTATTTCATGAGCTTTAATCGCACGTTAAAACGAATGTCATAGGAACGCTTAAACAATCTACAGAAAAGCAATCAAAAATGTCCGGCAGCTGCTCGTATAACCGTTTTTTCAAAACGACTTGTCAAGAAACTTCGCAACAATTTAAACTGTAATTAAAAATGAAAACAATAACGAAAGATTTGTGGTCGTTAATCAAACGACACAACAGAAAATAACTTTTTTATATTAATTTCAAAAACTTTTTCATGAACAACAAAAACGTTATAGAAGTCATTAGGAATATAAATATGAGGCACAATGAGGTAAAACCTTATTGGAACACCAAAAGTAAAAGTATTATTGCAAATTCTACCAAAACGCTTCTCATGGGAAATCGTTTGGCATTAATAATAAAGAATTCTTCTTCATCTTATCAACTACTGTCTATCGATCAAGCAAATGTGCAGATATTTTTAAGCATTTTTAAAAACTAAAAGTCAATCCTAGACTTGAATGCAATATTCCTTCACTCAATCAAGGTTTTAACATCTACTTGCTCAATTAAATAGGATAAACAAAAAGAAAAATATCTGTGACATCAAGAATGATGTGCTGCAGAATAAACAGTGATCCAAGCAACCATAAACGTCGCAAACGCAGCACCAAATCCTTCCTTAGCAATTTCCCAGAAGCCACCTAACGAGTCTTCATCCACCTTTAAAAAGCTCGTAAGCAAATAAAAATAAATTTAAAGTAAGGAAAACAGGAGCTCAAACCTAAACAAAAGCTCTACTGTCATATATTACCAGAAAACGAAACTAATTTATTATGCTCTATTACCAACAAATTCCACCTCTCTTTTTATGGATCCATTTGAATAACTTATTAACCAATTACAAAAAATTTGACTGTTTTTAAAAGTTGCAGTTTTTACATACTTTGACTAAACTGAATATGCTTTCAGTGAAAAGAAATCAGACAGAGAAAATACTGCAAACAAAAAATTTTCTATCAGTTCTTTGTCAGGCACCTAAATAGATAAACTCAAACCTTTTGAAAACTAGAAACGTAAAATTGACCAGCCACAGTGGTAATCACTACATACAAAACTATGGCAAAAAGCCCATGTAGAGGTATTGCACCCCAAATGATACCGATGGCTAAACCAAGAACCTGTCTTCCCCAATATATAACATCGAGAAGTTCATCTTTATCTTGCCATTCACTTTTCACTAGTGATTTTGAAAGCTAAAAAGATTAATTTTAAATTTAAGAGTGATTCAGTTTAAGAACTGAAGAGGAAAGCGTAAAGAACATGTGCCTAAAAAAGTGTAAAAAATGCTTGCAGTTTTTCTCCAGTTTGAAGCTTCCGGAACGTTTGGTACGGGTTTCCTCTGCATCTAAAATCATTCGTGTAAAGAAAAAGTAATTGCACTAAGTACAAAAGAAAGTTTTAACTCCAGCTACTGACAAAAGAGCTTTGACCGCAAACGACGCAACAAGAGAGAAAAATAGCACAGTAAAGAATAACAAGAGGTATTTCGAGCAAGATCGAACTGGTGGTATGTAAACACCTAAACTAAGTTTCTATCGTACATCTCTATCGCCACCTGCAACCTTGAAGAAAGCTTTAAAAAGAAAAGTTTTAATAAACGATTTCAGAAAATCAAATACGAGTTCTGTGAAACTAAGATGAGGCCAGGACGATTAGTCTATTAGAGTGTCAGCCTAAATATTTCCATACTACATGCAGAAATCAAAAAAGTTACACTTTTTTTAACTAAACAATTTTGAAGTTTTTAGCTATTATTTGTAACAAACTGTTTGCGACGTCCCTAAACTACAATAATCTCACAAGTCTCTTTACAACCACTCCATAAAAAAAAATTACTGGAACAGCAATTAAAATAAAAGAATCAGTGACGAGTAAGACAAACAAAACCAGCAGTATATAAGTACTGTTAATCCTAATTAATTAAATCTTTGTCATGGTAAAGACACATACAAGTGATCCGACATCATCAACTTTACGGTTATACACTAGCGAAATGTTAAATCAGAAAGATTAGAAAGTAAAAAAGAAAAAAGTAATAATTTACTAGACCGTGCAAACTATATGAACATAAGTATTTCTAGCACAAATCATTTTTTGACCATCTGCTTCGAAGTACTCCTGGTCCTGGCAGCGAAATACAGCCCCAGATCCTAAGTTGTTAGCAGCAATTTTAGTATAACGATTATTAGATTTACAAAAATTGCAGAAGAAAGGAAGAAACTGCCGCAATCAATTGCAGAAAGATTTGATAATTGGAAAACAGAAGAAGGGCACATAGGCACATACAGTTTAAAGAGAGTGTTGTAGACTCGAGACTTCAAACAAGAATTTCTGGCTTTTTGCCAGCAAAGCATACTTGGTATATGGCTTTTATAGAATGCCAATGATCTCAAAGTATTATGCCGAATAAAGTTCATCCTCAACGGCGAAATAATTTTGGAGTACGTTCAGTGGATTATCGTCTCCAGTTAATTAAAGACTGTTCGCAAATTAAAACTGTTCTGTAAGTTGACACAATTCGTTGTTCTTCATTTTTGCTGCCTACCAGTTCATATATCTTCCGTTCATATAACTTTTTCACTGTAGTTGGTCTGCTTTAGTCCCCGATAGTTTTTTATCCGTTGATCTGTCAAACAAAGAGCTTAACGTGGTGTTAAGTGTGGGAGTTTAAAAAAAATAAGTTTCGATAATCATATGTTCGCTGCAGTTAATGCGTAATTTGTTACACTGAGTTTTTGTGAGCTACCACTTTTTTTGATTACTAAAATACCTTACCAAATTTATTTTTTTCTTTAATCGATTTTGTTTTTAAAACAATGTTAATAGTTGGTGAGCCGGAAAATGTTATTTTTTATGTGTTTTGTTCACATAGAATTTTAAACCGATGAGTGTTACATTTTTTTATGCTTTGTTCAAGTAGTATTTTAACAAGAAAAGGTTTTTATTGATAAAGAGGTGCAAATTTGTGAAGGAGCTGTGGTTGTGTGAAAACGTGAAAGAATAGGAGTAGAGTAGGATTTGACGACTCAATTTCTTTAAAGTTCGTAGGCCTCACTGGTACGCTAGGAATGTTTCTTACTTATTTATAAATTTTGCTTTAATCTGCTTTACAGCTACTGAAAAGTGAATGTATCTTTTGCCGTACGGTTTATTTTGAAGGCATTTTAAGACTAATATAAACTGTGAGTTTTGTGTCTTGCTTTTGATGTTGATAAATTGCCGTTATAGCATTGTTATTGAATAATTCCTGTAATTAGAATTTTAAGAGTGTTATGTATAGAAAGCTCATGAAAAATGAACTGTAAAGGTACGCAACACAATTTCTGGGCAAATTTTCTAAGGTGCAACGTGAATACGGGGTTTTATCATTCAAAAGCACAGATCACGGTAGCAGGAGCAGCATAGTAACTGTGAAGAATATTTTAAAGCAGCTGAAGGTTGTTTTAAAACTTTTTAGGATGGTACTTATAATTGCGAAAAGCATCTTACAGTTTCATAAAGGTTTTATGTTTCCTGTAACATTTTCAGAATACGGGTGCTGTTTTAGGGGATTCAAAACAATAAAAAAAAGAGCTATGGATAGATGTTTACTGCAAGATTTATCAACAAATATTTTTTGGAAATCTAACAAAAGTTCAAGAGAGCAAAGGAAATATGGTGGAAAAGGTTTTATTCATTGATATTCTATATCATGAGTCTTAATTCGAATAAGTATTGGATTGGCAGTGAGATTCGTCGACTTTTTTTTACCATCTTTCAGTTCAGCGGAAAACTGAGGCGTAAAATCAGAAATGTGCTGGTCTGTGTTTACGGTCTGAATTGCAGCATCAGTTTTTAAAGTTGATTTGGCTGCGTTTGATGTTTTTTGCGGGTTAGTTTCCCTTCTGCTGTCCAAAAACAATAATTCAATGTTTGCAGAAGGAATCTCGAATAAAGCGCTGAGAACTACTGCCACCAAATAACTTAACACTACAGTAGACAATATCAATGTAGCTACCTGAAAATAAAATGATTCCTGCTTTTGACGATTTATTCAAATGCTAAAGAATTAAGAAGTTCCTTGTTAAACTAAGATTTGTGGATATAAGGAAAGTGTAGCTGAAATGGAAAAAGAACGTAAATTGAAAGGAGGTTTTATGAGATTGGCTTAAAATTTAGTTTGAAGTTTTTCTGCAAAATAAAAGGAATTATCTGGTGCGAGGTGCACCTTCTCTTGACTATGGTCATTAGTGCTTCAATGATAACTGTTACCAAAAATTAATTGATTTACCGTATATACAGAACTGGAGTAAACGAATTGTACATCACTCATTCCGATTAACCATAGAATTACGCAAAGGTGTGTTAAGTATGCGCAGAATGTTAACCTTCCAAATGGTGTCCAAATCGGCATGGAAATAAATTTACCAATTAAACCTATAGAAGGTAATTTGCGACAAATGCAATAAATATTTTTAGTTTTAAAAGTTTAGATTTTATGCACTTATATATGTTTATTTGCCCTCATCAGGGATATTGTTCGGAATTAAGTTTGGGCGTGTGGAACTGTGAAAATGGTTGAGCTGTTACAGTAAAGGAGAATGACAATAATTATCAAAATTAATCACTGGAACCTCCGTAACCGTAATGGCATGAGACAGTTATATAGGCTAATGAAAGGCCCCAAAAGATTCGACTAAACGCTGAATAGAAAGCACTGGTAAGTGGAGCTATCGGGTCTCCGCTAATCCAGTCACGTAACAAATAAACTACGGTTATGCAACTGGCAAGCGAAAGTATCCAAAGAACAACATTGGCAACCTATAGTTATCACCTAATCCAGTTCACAACAGTGAATGAAGGAAAAGAAAAAGACGTATTATCTTTAGAAGAAGCCACTTTTAAAGGGCAATAAAAATTTTTGAAATAAACAATACGATATGTTTGATTACTATGTTTTATATTGAACTGATACAGTTTTTGCATAAATTTATAAAGAAGAAAATCTTTTAGTGATAAAGTGATAACTTACAGGATTGATATGTAATTTTTTAACAGCAGACAAATAATATCCGGTTAATATACCAATAATATAAACTTGACAGCGAATCCATGGAGCTTGATAAATTAGAAATGTATATGAACTGAAAAATTTCACTTATTTTAATTTTCAATGTTTTAAACAATTATATTATTCAGTAGCTGAACTGTTAAAATAAATTTTTAAATGGATAATTTATCGATTATTTGTTGTTGGATAATTTGCATTTATTTTATAAATACACAAATTATATATAAAAAGAAGCTGATAATATAGTATCTTTCTTATCCTTTTAATATTTTAAATCATCAAAAATTCAACCAGCAATATATCTTTTGAAAAAAAAACTGTTAATTTAAATACAAGCAAAAAAATTTCTTGTGAATTGAAAAACGTCAAACTGAGTTGATTATAATTGGATTTATTGTGGCTAAAGGTTTATGCCTTTAGTATGTCATTAAGCTTTTAATAAAAAGTAATAATCTTGGAGAAATTTTCAAAAGTTTCAAAGCCAAAATTACAGATTTTTTTTCAAACGACTTTACTTTTAGATTACTTCCTTTCTTTAAGCCGTGGATCGGTTTTTCCAAACGGGTAATCTGACGGAGGAAAGAATTTGGCATATACAGTTATCATATTGACTGCCGTTGAACAACCTAACGCAATAATGGCGATAAATGAACCAAACCATGGATCTTTTGCTAAAGCTATAAGAAATAATGGAGCAAAAGCATACAGCTGAAAATCTGTTGCCAAATACCAAGACGGAAAATAACACTGAAATATTTATTGTACAGTGCCAGTAAAACGGTTTTTTTTTTTGTCCTCCTTCTTTCCCAAATAAACAAATGAGTTAATGCGAAAACAACGGAAACAAATAATTTTTTCTGACAAAACTTTTTTACAAAACGAAATGAGAAATTTGAAAGTGCTAAAAAACTAAATCACTTTACCTGATTCTGATAATCAACAAAATTTTGTATATACAGAAAATTAATCCACCAATTTTTGTGGCACGTTTCCGGATATTCAGTTAAAAAATTTGGCATATTTCTCATCAAACACCGAAACACAAAAGCATAAAATGCAATAGTAATGTAGTAAGTTGGTGAAAGTCTAAATTAAACATCTGCACAACTGTATAAATTTAACAAACAGTCAAAAAAAGCCTTAGTTCTAATTACTGATATGATAAAAGTGTCATCAGATAATACACGCAACAATCAGTGGCATTTATTGCTCAACCAACACCTTAGCGAATTCTGATCGACAAAAGACTTTAAACAAATTAATGCTTGTTGTAACGAAATAATTTATAAAGTTTTTTGATTTATATAACAGAAAAAGCAGATAAATCACTGTGAAATTTTACCGTATTAGGCGATGTACGTAATACAAAATCCATGATGAAAGGCTTAGCTGTCGAGCACCGTTACGAGAATATAGTTTAAACCATTGATAGGCCAATAACAAGCCAGATAAGAAGAAAAAAATATCTACCGCAAAATAGGAATTGGAAAATGCGACCAACAAATAGTCATTACGCGTACTACGAATTGCTTGTAATGGATTGTCTGCAATTGAGTCTTTTTTTCTTCCAGATTTTCTAAAACTGGAATATATTCGCCAAACTCATCAAATCCTAATAAGTTTATCAAATTCAGAAAAACTTTTATTCTAAAGCTTTAGAAACTGAAAAATGTTGACAGAAAAGTTCAAAAA